GGTCCCAGTCAGTGCTCCGGCCGCCATGGCGCACTGGCTCTCCTCTAGCGAGGAACATGGCACAGGAGGAGAACCCCAGACAAGGAGGCTAGCAAGCCAATCGAGAGAATCTGAGGTGTCATAGTCAAGGTAAAACCCAAGAAAGGGGTCCGGCCCACGGGCTGGGAAGCTAAAAGGAGAGGGTGTGGAGGTGGGCAGGGGTGGGCGAGGCTGCGGTTGGAGATGGGACCATCAGAACCTCAGAAGAGCCCTGTGGGACCAGGGCAGGGTCCACCTCATCCAGCATTCTGATCATGTGGTGGCCTGCCAGCTGCCCACAGGGTCCCACCAGAGGCCCCCCAGTGCGACAGCATGGCTCCCAGCCGCTGGTGCCTGTAGGCACCCTTCCTCTGGCACTGCAAATGGCCATGAGGACCAGCTGCCCCTAATGGTCTTCGTGGACAGGAAGCCGTCGCAAGTGGTGGTCGCAGCCACCTCTTGGGGCAGCGGAGTCCATAGTTTCTCTGCTGCCCTGAATCTCCCCTGCATCATCATCATGGGGTGACCCCTTTGGGTGCTCGCCTTGCGAGGGGGGAAGCAAAATGTCTCCCTTCACACGTGACGATGGCAGAGGAGAAGGTGGCAAAGCACCAGAGGGGGACCTGGCTTCCTAGCAGCAATCTTTCTCCACGCACACACATCAGTTGCCCAGGCAGGAGTTGCTCTCCTCTCCCCTGAGAGGGCAAGGTGGTGTGTCATTGCCGAAGCTGCCTACCCCGATGCGATGACCTTTCTACCAAGCAAACTCCAACGCCTCCATGTTGGGAAAATGTCAATTGGATAACCAGCCCCAGGATCCCCAGAGGCCCCGCTGTGCAGCCGGTGCCAGAACACCAGAAAGTGGCTGAAGCCAAGCAGCTTTTCATCATTATTCGTCTAGTCTGGGGTTTCTGTAGCCTGCCGGAGGTTTTGTTCTACCACACTGGCTGGGACCAGAGCTCAGCAGGCGAGCTGTGGGGTGGGTTCTTTAGAGCCCAAAACATAACAGGGGAGAAGCCATGGACACCTCATCTTTAAAATCCTGCCCCACCACTCAAAGGCCCAGCCTTCCTTCTGAAGACCTCATGTATCAATCCAGGCAGACTGATGATCTGACCTGTGTGTGTGTGAGGAATCCATTGGATTCCCCAGGCTTGGTTTTCCCTGGGCCCTGGGCCAGGTCCACTGCTCAGTCGCCCTGAGTTCAACTCCTGGAGAGCGGACCCAGAGGTCGCAGGGCGCTGTCCAGAAATCGCGCTCCATGTGCTGTGCAAGCAACACGCCTCTCCTGTACCAATGCAGCTACCATTTGAGCAGCTGCAGCTGCTGTCAAAGGCTGGTTGTGAAGGGCTTGCCAGAAAAGAGCATCTTGCACCTGCCAGTGGCAGCCCAGGGCAGCTGCATTCGAGTGGATGCGACGGATGCCAAAGGCGGTGGCCGGTTACACAACCAGCTGTGGGTGAGCATTCATGGACCGCCTTTTGGCTCAGCTCCCTTCGGAAGACCGGACAGAGCACCAGAGGGAGGCTGCAAATGCTTGCAGGACCAATTCCAATAAGGTTTGTCCCAACCTGAGAGTTGCATTCCCCTTCTGCACATGAAATTGGTGTCAGGTTCAGTGCTGGATTTTTCAGGAATGACCAGGAAAGAGCCGTGGTTGCAGTCCTGGGCAGCCACCGTCTGGGTTTGGGCAGCACAATTACCCACACTCAGATGTTGATTATAGCTTGAGTGTGGGTTGTCACTGAGCACTGCATTGTCGTCATTGAAACATGTGTTATCTTGTGTCTAAACCCAGCTGAGATAACAAAACGTGGTGAACAAAACACAGGTCACAACCCAACAAGCAACCATGGGTTATCTTCAAGGGTTGTACATGGCTAACAATAAAGCAGCAAGACAACTGACCAACGACACTCAATCCTTGAGTGTGGGTTATCCTGTTGTCTGGACCTGGCATTGTGTCAATCAGGGGTGCAGAACGTAGGGGCCAGGGACCAAATCTGACTATCCTGGTGGTTCAGTGTCAAGTCAAACAAGCAAACCAATTAAGCAATGTCTGGCACTCCCACCATCTGGCCCACAAGCAGTGTGAACCTCCCTGAGGGTGGAGCCAAGTTTGTTTGGAGGAGAAGGGAGGAGGTGTGTTCAGTTTTGAACCAACTCCTGCTCTCAGCAAGCACTAATTCCACAATTAGGGGGTCTTAACTTGATGGATGTTTCTTGCTGATGACCTCTAATGTAATAAAGATGGTGCTTGGAAGCCTCTTGTCATGATTGTCTGCAAAGGGAAAAGGAGAGGTGAGAGAGCGAGGGGGGCTTTTGACACGAGCTGCCACCCCTGCTTTCCCCCCTCTTTGAGGGTGCCCCGTGTGATCTTGTTCCACCCCAGCTGTGAAAGGCAAGAGGGTAAGGTCTCCGTTTGCTCCTCCAACATCGGTGTGCTATGTCGCACCTCAGATCAGAGACCCCAAAATATCCTAGGGCCCTTTCAGACATCGCACTCCCTAGCTTGTTTCTATCATCATCATCATCATCATCACCACCACCATCATTATTGTTTATACACCACTTAACATATTTAAAGAATTCCTTTTAATCAGATGGGAGACCTAAATAAATCCAGGGCACAGGAAACTTCTGGGTGGCCAATTATGATCTAAACAGCCCCCACTTCAGAGGGATGTGAATTATCGGAACGGCACAGGCGTTCATCGCACCTTTCATCTCTCCCTCTTCTTTCTGCCTGCCCTTGCAGCCCCATCCCCTGCCTGCCCCCGTGCACCCCTGGCTCTGCGGCCTTATATTTGATCTCTGTGCGAGACTGAGAAAAGTTCAGATAACTGGGACTGGGTTGCCATAGAAACCCCAATGCAGCCAGATTGCCCTTTCCTTGTTTTCTCCGGCAGGCCATGGCGGCTGCAGAGAATGAGCTGGGTTTCTGGTGGGAGGGGGCATGGGGGGGGTCCCTGAGACCCAGGCCTATGGGGCATCTGAGTTGCTTGAGAGGGTCTCCCTTTAGGGCTTTGCCATCAAGTTCACTTAACATGGATTACTGGCACTGTGTGAACTCCAACCCTGTGCAAACCAGGGGGTCCACACATTTTGCATGTTCTAGGTAGGATCCCAAGCTTCTCTGATTATTGTTGCATCATCATCCAAGCTTGGTATACCACTCTGCATCTAGACAGATTCCAGAGAGGTGAAGAATACAAAGCTGGAGCAGAACAAAGGATAACAACTATGCATCAAAAGAAGGTAGCCTCAAGCCATGGTTGGCCATCAAGAAAGGCTTCCTGCAACCAGGACACTTCAGCAGTTGCCAAAACAGTGCTGGTCCCTGCTTGATCTCCAGAGGCCAGGAATTCCACAGAAATGGGGCCACCACACTAAAGACCCTTCTCGGGCCATGGGTCCAGGCAGAACCCCAAGGTGAATCCAAGGCTTGGGCTTCTCTGGTTTGCTGGGAAGAGCATTCATCTTCTTTGGTGGTGGGACGATATCTCTCCCCCGCCTTTGGAAGTGGATACCCAGGAGCAGTTCTCATCAAGCTGCTGCCCTCCAAAGGCACCGGAGGTGTTGGCCACCAGGCTGGGAGCCGCTGTCCTTCCCTGGTGCTCGCAGCAGTGCCCAGAGGAACAGTATCAGAGCTGTTGGAAGGGGCCAGGAAGGCCGCTTGGTCCAACCCCCTGCTCGGTGCAGGACTCTACATTAATGCACCCCCATTGGATGGCTGTCCAGCTGCATCCTGAATGCCTCCAGTGTGGGAGAGCCCCCCGCCTCCCTTGGTCACGGGTTCCGCTGCCCTACTGCTCTGACAGCCAGGAGCTTTTCCTGATCTCCAGCCAGAACCTGGGCCTCCTGGAACTTGAGCCCCTTGTTCCATGCCCTGCACTCTGTGGTGATGGAGAAGAGATGCTGGCCCGCCTCTGCGTGACCAGCCATCCTACCTCCCCTCAGCCTCCACTCCGGCCATGCAACAGCCAAATGGTACAGCAAAGGAAGACAATATTGTACCTCCAGATGAAGGTGTTCTTATGCATGCTAAGCTGATACTTTTGTCCATTCCCTCAAAATCATCATATCAACTGACAGCGCCCGCTCTGAATGTCTGCAGATCCCCCCCAACCCACGCTCGGCATCCTCTTAGGACTTGACCATGCAGATGAGGCTGCAACGTCCCGGCGAGCTTCTTCTCGCCTCCGGTGCTTCCCCCTCCCCGCAAGCTGCTTCCTGTAGCATCTTCCCTGATGAAGGTATTTGGAGATCTTGAAAGCCTGGACAGTTTTCGGTGTTCTTTGATTTGGCTTAATGAGATTAGTGCAGTATGCAGATGTTGAAGTTTTTCTTATGCTCCCCCCTCCCCTCCCCCTCCCCTCCTCCTCATCTCTTTTGCATGAAATAGTTATTCATTTCTCAGATTTGTTTGGAAAGTGGGACTTCGCCCAATTTTAATTAAAATGTGTTTGGACAGCTGGTTGCTTTCCCTTTGATAGCCAGGTGCCTGTGCAGTCTTCTCCTTCCTTCTTTTGAAGCCCCAAGCAGAAGCAAGCCACGGTGCTGAGCAGAGTGCGCTTTGGGAAGGGCGCTGGCAGTGCTGCCAGGCGACGGCACATCCCGCCCATGCCTTTCTGAAAGCAGCTTGCCACAGAGCGGCGGCCAGCTCCTGCTGGCCACAGGGGCCGCTTTTGCTTGCTTGAGAAAGAAGCTCGCCACCAAGGCACCGAGCTACCGTTCCCAGAGCAAGGGCCCACCACACCGGCGGTGGAGAATGAATGTGGTGCAGACGGGGCCGTGCGCAGCCCTGATGCCCGTGCTTTCTTCATGGGCGTCAGGGGACTCTCTCCCCGGCACTCCTTCATGATGCCTCTGCTTCACTACTACCAGGATCCCACCTGAGAGGTTCAGTTCAGGCAGGAGAGCTGGGGGACCATAATTTCTGGATGCCTTAGAAAGGTCCTGCCAGGGCAAGGAAGCTTACCTGGAACTCGGCCTGCCAGGTCTGAGGTTCGGGGCTGATCTGGCTGAGATCTTGAACCTGGGCTTTCCGGAGAGGGTTCTTCACCAGGGCAGAGCTGGGGTCGCTGGCCGTGGGCACCTTCTGGAAGGGCTCGTGGTCGGCTATCTGATTGGTGCTGTATGCCCTCCTCCGCGTGGCAGCTGCCACATCCACCCCTGGGGAAAGAAGGAGAGCATTTTGCAGCACAAAATCTGCAAGGCCTGCAGGGCTGCCCCCGAAGGTGGATCAGGCATGCTCCCTGTGGCTGCAGAGGGCAGGAGAAGAGCCAGAGGGTGGAGACAGGCCAATCTGGCCAAACATTAGGAGAAACTTCTGAGGGACGTGAGCTGTTGAAAAGACTGGAAGGCAGAGATCTCCTTGGCTGGGAGGCATTCGAGTGGATGACTGCCGTGAGTCAGAGCTCCTTCAAAGCCACAGACCTTTCCTGGCAAAAAGTTGTTTTTCAGCAAAGTTTTCCAGAAGCACAACCGCCCAGAAGGACTCTCTGAGCATGCACAGAGCAGTTTGTTGAGCCCAGCTGAGTATTTCCTTCTAGGGCCTCCTGAACACGAGCAAACCTGTGCTCGGCACACTGGCCCTCCAGCTAGGTGGCCCTCCTCCCCTGATGCCTCGCCGTGGGGCTGAGAGCGGCACCTGCTTTGCCTGCCTCTGAGAATCGCCCATGCTCCAAACTCCCTTCTGAAACCTGCACATCCCAGTTATTCCTAGAGGCTGCCAGAGTGCCTGGGAGCCTGGCCTTGCGATAAGCACCTCCGCTTCTCTCACGTCAACATCTGGAACCTGCCCACATTCTGAGCTGCCTCCCTAATGCCTCCTCTTCCTCCTCCGAGTCCACGCCAGCCCGCCCCGGGGGTGCTCCTCAAGAGCAGCTGCCCCCTCAGTCCCAACACCGATCACCATCTGCAGTGATGTCACCACAAGAGCCGGTACCTCAATGTGTGCTTGTCTTCAAACTATAAATCTGCAAACAGGGGCTGCCTTGGATGGTACAAAGCACAGTGTTTAGGGTGCCATTCCAAGCATGCTGGCTGGAGAATGCTGAGGTTGGAGGACTTCCCTTTCTTTCTAAACCTATATAGGATTGCACTGTCAGGACACTGACTTTGACATTCCCAATTTCCCTTTGCCTGCCTGGGCTGAAGGCAGAAGGAGCTGCAGGACTGATCGTCACCTCTCCATCTTCTGATAAGGTGCATGCACTACACTGGCTTTTCAGCGAGGGCACTGAAGAGAGGGAGGGAAGAAAGCTAATTCAGAGTAAATCTCGGCTTCTCCAGTCTCCCTGTCCACTGGAAAGTCCCTTTTCCGAGGCTCCAAAGTTCCTTAGAGAGAGAGATGGTGCCATCTTCTCAGCTCCTGTCGTGAGAAGTAGGCACTTGGGGGTCCGATTCCTGACCCGCTTCTGAGGTTGGAGGGCTCTCTCCATTCTCAGGGAGATTTTCGGAGCCACCCTTTTGCCTCTGGAATGTTCTCTGAGGAACAGTAGGATTGCTTCCATACATAATTTTAGAGAGGAAGAAAGGGCAGTGTTGGCTGTGTCGCTTTTATTAGGACTTATCTGGGAGCGATCCAGCGCCAACCTGGTTTCAGCACCACGGACAGCTCCCTTAGCCTGGCCTCCGTGGCCTCCACTAACAAAAGCTAAAGCTACGACTGCAATTCATGTGCCCGGAACAATGTTGTGATTCTTGAGAAAGGGAGAACCGAAGGAGCGAAAAGTAGAATTTTGGGCGTTCCAGAGGAGCGGACTCCGGGGCAACGGGAAACAAAGGAACACTGCAAGAAATGCTGCGCCATCTTACTAAGCGGTGCGAATGTGCAAAGAGCGGATGGAGGGAAACTCACCGCAGTCCACGTCGGACTCGCTTCCTACGTCTCCAGCAGTGCTGAGCAGTCCGGGACTTCTTTCAGAGGGGAAGCCGCTCTCTGGGTCCTTGGTGGAGCCCCAGCCGTCCGAGGCCGCACCTTCTTCTTGGGAGTGGAAGAAGACCGAGCCCCCAGACCCCTGCGAATGCAGCATGCTGTACCGCCGCCTCTTGTCCTGCAGGAGAAAGAGGCTGCCTTGGCTCTTCTGCTCCGCTCCTGCTGCTTTCTGCCAGGGGCTAATTTAAAAATGGGTGGGCTATCGGTGGATGATGCTCTCAGTCAGGACTTTGCTCCTCCTGGACCAGCATCATGCTCCCACTGGTGGCATCCCTCTGGGTTCCCAGGGAGGGGTCTTTCCCAGCACTGAAGCCCTTTGGCTGGAGGTGGTGAGGACCATGTCTGGCTGTTCTGCCACTGAAGGGCCTGCTGAAGCCATCTCAGTATGGCGCAGGAACATGAGAAGGGCTTTGCTGAAACGGGCTAAAGGACCTTCCAGGGCAGCGTTCTGTTCATGCAGCAGCTATGCCACCCCGCTGCCCATGCTCCCCAGCAATGGGTGTACACATGACTTGGATACTGCGAGTAGCATATAGCCATCAAGTCTGCTTATTTAGCATATGGCATATATTGCCAGGGAGTCTACAATGCTTCACACAAGGTAGGTGTTCTGGCGCCTGCAGCTGCTAGTCTGCTATTGCACCGGTGCAGCAGGGGGGTGAACTAGCTTAGCACCACTTGACTAGTGGTGTTCTTGCTGAAGTCAGTTCACCCGGAGCTTTTCTCCGCTCATCCTCGGCCAAACATATCCAGCACCAGTGCTTGCTTTCACTGTGAATGAAGCCGGCAGGTTTCCCACCGAGGAGTGGTGGTCTCTATTCACCTACTCACGGACGGTGTGCTTTCGAGCGGCTAGGTGGGCAGAAGCTGGGGGCAGAAGACGGGAGCTCATCCCACAGAGCTGGGCTCACACCACTGGAGCGCCAACCATGTCTGATGGACAGCTCCAGCATCATTAAGTCACGGCACCCCCGCATCCCCCGCAGCCATCAAGACTACAGCCATGGACGGCCTTCTCCCTGTGCTGGTCCAAACTTCCTGGAAGCCCTCCAAACGGGTGGGCATCACTGTGCGCATTCAGCCTCCTTGGTTCCTAACCCCAGAAGAGAGAGAGCCGCCTCTCTTCCACAAGAAGGCACTCTGGCTATGCTCAGAGACTGGAGGCCATTCCAGACATTGCCTTCTTGTGGAAGAACAGCGTGGGGTGGGGAGGGGGGTGTCCTTCCTGTTCTTAAAAGAAGTCTGTGGGAAAGAACCATGGGGCAAGAATGACCTGGGAGCTTGGATGCTGTTACCCGCTCTGCTCCCAGGCAGGTTTGGAAGGCTGCTCCCCACCACTATGATGTGGCGGAAGACCCCTTAGGTGTGGCCCTTTGTACGAATATCAGGGCTACAGAAAGGGATTCTGTGGGGCTGTCCTAGGATGGAAGATGCAGAGAATCTTCTGGCAGAGGGATTGGAAAAAAATTTGTAGCACGTCCCCTTGAGGATTTAAATGGTGGGGAAATGGGCTAGAAACTCACTTGACAAGCCCATGAGGAAGCCAGCAAAGGAACGGATGCCTGAAGGTGTTCCCGGTTCCCATGGGTTCCTCTTTAGGGCACGCAAAGTGACCCAGTATTTAACCTTAGGGCAGCCAAGGCTGCTGGGAGGGCCAGAAACGTCATCTCCTCCCAAAGACCGCTCAAGAGCTGCGGGTGCTGAACGCTGCAAGACAAGGCAAGCGGAAGGCAGCGGCCGCAGCGGCACACGACAGCAGCCCCAAGGGGGCGGATCGGGCTGGCCACTCACCAGCCTGGGGTTGGACACGTACAGGGACGAGTCGCAGACAATGCTGTAGCCGACCAGCCGGTCCCCCGGGAAGAGGCAGCTGGCGCTGACGGGGGAGATGAGCACTTCCGTCGTCTCGGGGAAGACCCAGTCAACTGAGACGTCGCTGACGACAGGGGCCAGTGCCTTCTTCAGAGACTTTATCATCTGGGAACCAGAGCGAGAACGAGTCTGTCAAGCCAGATTCCAGCTGAACATCCCCAGAGCCACTTATCCTGAGATCTGCTCGCAGGCACCCGGGGATCCTGGCTAGACTGCTGCAATGCATTCATTCTAGGGTGCCCTCAGAGACTGTTTGATGCTGAGGCAATTCATGGCCATGGGACAGTGAATTCTTCGGTACCTGAAGGGTTGGCCCACTCACCTGCATAGGGGGAAGAGGTGGGGAAAGGACTAGCCAAGCAAAAGAGTGGAGACCATGGTGCAAATTCAGTCCCGGAGAAAATTTGGAGCCCAGAAGATCCATGCAGGTGATCCAGAGCGAGACAGAATCCTCGATTTTTCAAGTGGGGGGGCTGTAGGGTTAAGCCTAGAGAAGAGTCCCTGTCCGAAATCTTGAGTAGCTGCTACCCTCCGCCCTGTGGCCCATGGGCACTTGCTGAAATTCAAGATCCCCCCAGATCCCCAAGATCTCTGTTGCATCTGGTCCCCCTGGAGGGACAGGTTTTTGGCCCCAAGAGATTCTCTGCTTGCCACCTCTTCTTGAATCTTTCTGCTTGAAGGTTTTTTTCTGAACGCAAATGCCCCCCTCCTCTCTGTCCATACTCCCCCCCCCCCTTTCCCCAAAATACGGGTTTTTTAGGAAAAGGGTTTCCTTAAAGAGCCCCCCCCCCAAACCAGAATAAAATAGCATATTTGCACATTAAAAATTGTCCTGCAAGTCAGATCTGTTGATCTGTTTGGTCCCTGGTACCTTTCCTATCTCCACTACATCATCCCTGTGAACCAGCAATATGATTTGTGATGCCCCAAATTTTGGTAGATTATATACATAATTGTATGATTCATATTATATAATTATATGATTCATTCTAATTGGATCTCTCTTTCCTCCAACAACGTCAGGGTGGCACATGCCTCCCCCACGCCTTTTATGCTAATGGCCATCCTGCAGGGTCGGGCGGGAGGGGGAAAGAGAGGGGTGGGACGGGGGACTTCCCGCTTCCTGGCTGGGGATCTGAATGAAGTTGCCTGCAGGTCAGCTCCAGGTCTCTGCCCCATGGCTTGCATTTGCCCCGTGGCTCATAGTAGCCGCTTCCCACCCGCTCTGCCGTGCCTGCATTTCAAGACAGTCTCAGGACTGTCTTGCACGGACACTGCTGCTGAGAAAACAGCAGAATAATGAAGAGTGGCAAAGCTAGTGGACCATCATCGTACCAATTAAACAAGGGACCCCGAAGCTGAAGCAGATGCCGATTTTAAAGGGACGGTGGGAAACTGCACGAGGTCGTGCGTGAGGGAGAGTGTCCAACACACCGGTCAGTCGGTCGAGGTACAAAAATGCCCCCAAGCCAAGAGAAGGTGAAAGAGGAAACGGCTGCGGGAGTGTTGGTGGCTCTTGCTGCTGAAGGCTGCATTTTGGACTGGGGGTGCCACATGGTGGTGGGGAGACCTGCTTTCCCCTGCGGAGGAGGGCAGGACGTGCTCCAACAGAGCAAAGCTCCGGGAGCCGAGGCTCAAGGTGAATGCCAGGAAGTCCTTCCTGACAATTAGGTTGAAATTTTTTTTTAGGTTGAAATTTCCTGACAATTAGGACTCCTGGGGTGTGGAATGGGCATCCACGAGAGGCCGTTGAGGCCCCATTGGTGAGGGTGTTCAAGGATAGGCTGGACGTGCACATGGAGGGCATGCCGTGAGCAGAGCCGGCTGGAGCTGGGGGTCAGACTGGATGGCCTGGGAGGCCCCTTCTGACTTGTTCTGTTTCTGTGTTTCTAAGTGAAAGAACCTATAATTTTCAGATCTGTTATATGGGGCATTCATCATCACAAGCTGCTTAGATGCCCCCAAGCAGGCAAACAAAGGCACTCCTTAGCCCTGTTTCTTCCTTCTCCACCACTGAAAATAAGGCCCACGAGGGCAACTGGGAGCCTGAAAGAACCAGCTGTGCAATTTGCTGGAGCCTCTCATCTTACATCAGAGATCTGCTCTCCAAGGACAGACATGTCCACATTCTATCTGTCCCATTCTGCATTGTTTGTTTTGATCTGCAGAAACATGAGGTATAAAGAAATATACATTCCTAAACTATTTTGCTAAAGAACAAAAGTTTCCAAATCCACTGCATGCTCTCCCAAAGTACGCATTCCTAAATGCATTTTGGACACAACCATCTTACTCTGGGAATGAGAAACATCTGGAAGAGGGGGAAGCCAGTGCCAAGGCCCATTTAAGAAAGGACAGTGCTGGGTGCTTGGACAGAAAAGCAGCTCCTCAGAATTCAAGCGGTGCCTCACACGGTGAAAGCGAGTGACTTTATCAGAGGTGCCCCTTGCCACACGCCCCCACAAAGCTCCCTGCTCGGCACACATAAAGATAAATAGCATCTCTCCGGTGACCGTTCGGCACGGATGCTTTTCATCTGACAGACTGGGCCCACTCACTGCGTGGGCAGCAAAGGAAGGGAAAGGGGCCAGCTACCTGGTCCCAGCCACCCCCACAGTCTTCTGAGAGATGGGAGAGAAAAGAGACATCAGATGCTCAGAGGCTGAGCTGAGCGGCAACCACTTGTGTGGACGTTAAAGCCCAGGTCACCCTGGCAGGATTTGGAAAGGTGGCTCTGGGGTGCCGTGAGCCGGCCTTTCCTGGTGGGACCCTGGGGTGAACAAGGCTAAACCAGGGGCAACGGAGGCCGTGGGGCACCCACGGAAAACCTGGCACAGGGGGAGTGCCACAAATCAGCAGGGAGGTGTTGGCGATTCTGCCAGACTTTTGAGATGTGCAGTCCAAGAACAATCAATCGTCAATCTAATCCCCGGCTTCGTTTCTTTTCTAAATCCATTCTGTCCCGTGGTTGAGGGTTTTTTCTTTAAATCAGCACAAAAGTGTGCATTGAACCATACATTTCAGAAATCTTTTGCCACAGAACATGTGTGCCCACATGTATGTTCCTGCAAAGTGCAAATTTCGGCATGTATTTTGGGCAGTCTTGGTTGCTAGGCAGATGGCTGGATGCCCGGCTCCGAGGTCAGAAGATCTGTATCCCCTCTCATAGCCAGCACAGCAAGAACTGTGCCAGCTGCTTCTCCGAGGTCGCAAAAATGACCTCAGAGAAGTAGTTTAGCGGGTGCTCTGGAGAGGAAGGAGGAATTGAGTCCAATTGGCCATCCAGCTGTTTTGACAAAAGGTGGGGGGAAAAGACCAGCATTTCTCTGCAATTCTTCATAGAATGCCCATAATCTGAAGGGCGACAGGGTTTCTCCTAGAACTGCACTTCCTGAATGTATCTTATCTGCCTTGGGGCCAGAATATCTGGGCGACTGCTTCCTCCAACATGAGCTGGTCCAAAAATCTGCATTCAGCATCCTGGCTCCTCTTATGTTTCACCTCCTAGAGAAGCTCGGTGGATAGTAACACACCAACTACAGCTGGCCTGGCCTCCTCTTTAAATCCTTTAAACTGCTGCTTTTATCATCGCACTGAGCTCTTAATATAAAATGCCACCCTCTGATTGTATTGTATTTGTGTTGCAGTTGATGTTTCAGATTGCCATTTTCTGCTCCTTGGAGTTTCTGCATCATTATTGCTTTTTCTCCTTCACTGCCGAGAGCAAGCATCATTGGCAGGAGGATCAGTTGCGAGAACGTTCTCAGTGCACCAGATACGTGTGTTTGACTGCCTTTCTTTGAGCAAAAGAGAGCATAACAAAATTTGGGAGTGCAAACCCAAAGAGTAATGACCTTCTGATCCATACAGAACACGACAGTTCCAGTTGCTCATTCCCAGATTTGTGCTGGTCAAATACTCCATTCGCCCTTACTGCTTCCAGCCCTGTCTCCTTGGAAGTGTCATCTCTGTGTCAAACAAGAATGTGTCTTACTGTATTGTACATAGAATTATGACGCTGATACATGTAATCACTGCGGCGAGGATTGCATTCACTCATCACTGGAAAAGTGAGGAACTACCCACCGATGAACTGATTCTAAAAAAGATTCTGGACTGTGCAGAAATGGATAGGTTGACTTTATCACTGAAGAAGAAAGAAGATACTGACTTCTATCAAACTTGGGACTCTCTTTATTCTTGGCTAGAGAAACGGGACTTGGCTCAGATTTAAATGTTTTTAAGTTATCATAAATGGGAAAAGAAGGGTGTGAGGGCTGACCCAGAGGGCTTGAAGTTTTTGATGATGGATGTTGCCTGTAGCTTTCTTTTTGTTTTGTTTTTTAGGATTATAATTTCAAATGAAACTTATTTAAAAAAAAAAGAAAAAAAGAATTATGATTTTGAATAGTGTGAATTCAAATACAGTGACCACTTCATGGAATTTATTATCTGCACCAGTCAAGTCCAAGCTGTTGCTTGCCCTGAGAAACGGACGCTGCTGAGGCGGACGCTGCTCTGGCTGAAATCTCCGGGCCATCTCCAATGGCAGCCCTGCACACAGTGCGTTGCAGCTGACGAGCATGGGCATAATTTGCGCGTGGGTGGCCAGCTGTGCCCCGCGACTTGGCCTTGTAAGGGGAGGGCATCCCCATCCAAGGCCAGCCACAAACCATCCTCCAGAAGAGTTGCTCTTCCAACCGACAGCACCTCTTTCCTGCCTGTGTGATGCTCCCTCGTCTACCCACATCCGCCCGAAACAGCTTGCAGTCCACAAGCTCAGCGTCCAACCTGAGCAAGATTTCTGGAGAAGTGGATCTGCTACTCGCTCTCAAGAGCTCGGATCGAGGTATTGCCTGACGGCAGGTTTGGGGGCTTCTCTCACGGAGCCGCTCGGCCTCCTTGCCTCTTCAGAGCCACGGATGAGAATGACGGCCACCCTTGGTGTGAAGGACCAGAGGGCTAATGGATGCTTCAGGGCCAGCACCTCCAATTGGCGCTGTGCTGGAGAGGCGCCCTGGAGGCTTCGGTGCCCCGCACATGCAGCAACGGCTGACGGATGACACCAGCAACTTTTTGACAGCTGCGCGGCTGTTCTGAGAGTGCCTTCCTTTTGCCCTCCAAGTCTCCCCCCGGGGGGCCTGTTGACTGACAGTCCCAATATTTAGCAGGTCAGATAAAACGAAGCTTTACCAGGAAACATCACTCAAGTGCACGGAGAGGTCTTTGATTCCCAGCCGTGCTGATCCCAATTACCAATTGTGTTCAGAGCCCAGATTCTTCAGAGCAGGGCCACCAGACTCAAACTGAGCATGTGTACCGCTTTCCCATGTGCTCGGCAGACTGAATGCACGCCGATTCTTTTCATTATAGCTACTGACTGGCTCCAATGATTTGAGGTTTGCACTGCCTTCCTAGAGCCAAGGGAATACTCCGCAGCACAGAGAAGGTTCATCTCGCTGTCTCGACACCAAGCCGCAAGATCGTTGCTGTTATCGCTGTTCTGGCCTAACAAGCTCGGACATGCTGCAAGTCAAACCTGGGAACTTCTGTCTATGAGGCAGGGGCTCTGCTATGGACCTTCAGTCTCTCCCTTGCACTGAGTGTGGGATGAACACAGGCTGGCGCTGAAACGTGAGTTGTGGCTGGAGCATGGCTAATCACACGGTCTGAAGCTCAGCTAGGTAACTGACCAAGGTGAACAAGCTGCGGTTCCCAGCTCAGCCACACTCCACGGGTTTCCTTCATGGGTTATTCATCTGTGTTCCCCTGCATGAGCCTGCCCTTCTCGTGGCCCCACCACCCTTTGCTGGGAACGCAGGAGAGGGCCTTTGTGGTGACGGCCCCTTCCTGGGGAGACTAGCCTGGAGAGTTCCCTGCTAGGGTTTCATAAGCAGGCTACAACCTTCCGATTCCCGCACGTTTTTAGGAATGGCCTGTGAGTTTGCACTGGATTCATTTTACTGTTCATAGTTTTGCAGTGGTTTTACTTCTGAGGAGGAGGGCAGGACATGCTCCAACCAGGGAACCAAGGTTCAAGGTGGATGCCAGGAAGTACTTCCTGATGGTTAGGACCCCAGGGGTATGGAATGGGCTTCCCTGGGAGGTGGTTGAGGCCCCACCTGTGAGGGAGTTCAAGGATAGGCTGGACATGCACATGGTAGGCATGTCATGAGTGGAGCTGGGGGTCAGACTAGATGACCCAGAAGACCCCTTCTGACTTGCTGTGTTTCTGTGAATCTAGCTTCGCCCTGCTGCTTTTTACAGCTTCAGAGCCTTTATTACTGAAAGTTTCTATGTTTCTATGCATAAATAAATCATCCGGAGGTGGGTGAAGCCTAAGACAAAGGGGCTGCAGCTGTAAAGAAAATAGGCAGACCCCGCTGAATCAATCTTTGTATGAGCAAACTGCTTAAATGAAGGCTTCAGGTCCTGTGCATGTTTACTGAAAGGTAAGCAGGCAACAGCTCAGATCTATGCATAGTTACCAGAAGCCAGCAAAAGCCAGAAAGAACAAGCGAGTTCTCACCACCCCACTGATGCACGTTTACAATCAGGCCACAGTTCAAGTCTTACGCGAAGGAACTCCCTTTCCCCTGCTGCTAGCTCCCCACATTAAACAGAACTCCAAAACATGTTTGCTCAGAAATAAGCCAAAGCTGAATAGGGCACATACTGGCTTTAGATTCACCACAAGGGACAACCAAAAAGTGAATGGAACAAGAAGGCAAACACAAAGCAGAGGATTTTGCCATTATTCCAGAGGGGAGAAAGGAAGGGCTTCCTTCCCAGCTACCCGCTGTAATGATCACGCGGCAGCAGTACCTTCGGCTGCAACCTCTCCCCCTCGACCAGAAATTCCGCACTTCCTTTGGACACCGCAGCCAGGCCCTGCACCAGCCTTCGGCAGGCGTTCTGCCCGATGCCAAAAGTGAAGCACCTGTCGCAGGAGAGAACACAGGGTCAGGAGCGCCCCCAGCCAAGGAGCTGGGACTGCGGTGGGAGGAAAGCACCTTCCCAGCTCCCCCACTAGGAGAATTCTGTCCACCTAGAATTCAGAACTGTGGAATTGTGAAAATGCATAAGCATCTCTTCCTGGTCCATTCCTGCCTCTCCAGATAATATTGCACTTAAAAAAAAGCTGTGGAACTCCTCAGAATGCACGGAAGAAGTCCTAAAGCTGCCATTGTGTTTGTATATTACAAAAAGTGGGAGCAACCTGCCCCCGCCAGGCGTGTGTGTGTGAATAACAAGTTTGTGCAGACATGGGATGAGCCCGTGCTCAAAAGCCCAGAGGTCTCCCCGAGGCTGGCACAGATGCATCTACCCACGCCTAATATCTGCACCCTTGGAAGAATCTCGCGGTTTGCAGAAGTGCAGAAAAGTTAGAAAAGACATCCCAGCAAGGCCTCAGTTGGACGCTGTGCTGTACTTTATTTTGTGTTGCTTTTATTGTCAAACCATCCTGAGATGCTTGTAGTGGGTGGTATATAAAAGCTTTGATGAATAAACGCTCAGCCAGCACAGAATGCTGACTGGTGGCTGAGTGGAAAAGCAGGCAAACGAACGGGAAGCAGAACAGAGGATCTTGGAAGAGGGAATGGGTGGTGCGCTGCAATCCCAGAGCGCTGCGTGCTGCAACCCTTTGTTGCAGGTCCCTCTTGTGTTCCACATAACACTTAGCTTCTCAGTAGTGGAAATCAATGGCTTTGTGCCCTGGTCTCCATGAACCAGGGAAGCCACTGGCTCCTGCAAAGCCCCGTTGGCCGATCAACCTTCCGCAACACCTCTGCCACCCCGTCCAAATTCCCATCCTGGATGGTTCTTCCGGCCTTTCCAGGGGTTGGCAGCGTTGGCTTCCGCATCGGTGGAGCACTCTACCAACTCGTGGCTTCAGTCTGAGCTCTTCAGAGATTACCCATGGTGCTGGGCCCCAGCTGCCAATAGGTTCGGCACCGTGGGCAGCTCCTCAGAAGCTCAGGCTGAGGCCACCTCACTGGTGCCGGATCCACCAGGAGCTCATGCGAGCGGCTCAGAGGGTCCTTCTCTACCTGGTGGAGAACGAGTGATTCCGTACAAGCTCCAGGACTTTCCCGGTGTTGCTGACAGCACCGTCGGTCAGCAGGAAAAGCAGCCGGGGGTGGCCTCGGTGGATGGGCTGCCGGATGATCCATTTCAGAGGAGATAAGATGTTGGTAGCACCCATGTCAGACCGGATCTTCTTGATACTCTCACATGCAAAGGCCAAATTCTCCTGCAGAGAGAGAAGAGGAGGTGAGTGCGCACGCTGGGGCTGCCCTGTTGCCGTTGCACGGAAGGCACCAAGTCCCACGACGCGGGTGTGACCGGGGGTGCAGAGCAAGTCAGCAGATCCCCTTTCTGCCTTCATGCTGCTACAAATGCTTGAGGATTTTGTTCCTCTGCGCCTAGTTGAATCGAGCTGGTCTTAATTCTTGGACTGATATGCAGATCACAACATGGTTGCTTTTTTGGACTCTGTGCTTCTTTGAATTCTGAGCTACAGTTCTCAGCTGAAAAATATACCACGGTCCATATTTTAGGTGAAAATGCATCAAAACATTGTAAATGTAAACACTGTAGAGAGCCAGTGTGGTGTCGTGGTGAAGATCGTGGGACTGGGACTCAGGCGATCCGGGTTCGAGTCCCCGCTCAGCCATGGGGCCACCTGGGTGACTTTGGGCCAGTCACAGACTCTCAGCCCAACGTACCTCACAGGGTTGTTGTTGTGGGGATAAGATGGAGGAGGAGAATGATGTAAGCTGCCTTGAGCCCTTTGTAGGAAAAAGGCAGGCTATAAATGGAAAAATAAATAAATAAATGCAAGCCAAATGCATATTTAGGATCAAAGGCTTACAAATGTCGCATGTGCGTTTTACATAAAAGTAATGTTGCTATAGAAATGGAATGAAACCAGCTTCCGCCACGCGTGGCTGGACACAGCCGGGAGTTATGTAACCATCCTCCCCTGGTGAATAGGAGAAGGCCTGCATAACTTTCAGAATCACCCCAAAGTCCTGTTGCTGCCTCTGGATGAAGGGCTATTAAGTCCCGGAAGGCTTTCACTCACCTCACAGTAGGCCTGGCTGGAAGGAAACAGCGCCTTAAATGTCGATCCAAATCCGATGATGTTGAACAGACAGGCTGGCATAAGACTCTTCAGAATGACCGACAAGGCATCCTACAGAGAGCAGGAAGGATCTGGTTGTCAGGACCTACTTGTTTGGCGATACACACAGTTAGGTAATGCCTTGAGAGGTGAAAAGGTTCCAGGCTGTGCCAAATGCAGGTTCCACTGCACAAAGCAGGACTTAATGGTGCAAATTCTGGAAGGCCACCATGTGGATCAGTCCCAGCAAAGGTAAAATGGAGCCTTGGGTAGGTTTGAGCCCAGAATCAATGCCCCTGATGCTGATGGTCAAGAACCTCTGCCAGAAACCCGCCCCCTCCAGGTGAGTGCTCCGTGTCAGGATCCATCCCCGGCAGAAAAGGGGCAGTAAACATTCTTTAATCGGACCAGTCAACACCTTCAGCCTAAACCAAAGTGGCAGCTTGTAGGACAGCAGGCAGACTCCCCACTTAACTCCAGCAAGGTTAATTCTCTGTTGCCTGCAGTTCTTCCACAAAATGAGAAGAAACAGACCCACCAGCAAGAAAGATTAAAAGAAAGCGACATGTACATAGCAATTTATCACCTGCTATTTGCATGCTTCCAAAGGACTGCTTTCCCGGCACTGATACCTGTTTGTCTCCCTCTCAGATTAAGTAATTTCCCCTTTTGTAAGATGTGATGGAAGAACTGGTTCAGCAACACAAAGAGACAACCATTTCCTCTTTATCCAAAGCCATTATCCCACCTACCCAAGTATAAACTTGTTTATATGAAAATAATTGTCCCTTCAGGCTTGCAATTTCTCCCATATCGCTTCCAAATAGATTAAAAAAAAATCTTTACAGCTATAGTTATCTGTAAAATTGCTTATTTGTAGAAGAGCTGCAATGCTTAGCTAATGGCTTGGGGGTGGATCCTCCGTGAAGTTGCCAGAGGGTGAAGCTGAGCCTTGCATCCTCTACCAGGGAGTGACACCCTGACCCCAAATGAAACGTGAATTCTCCTATCCGAGAAGTTTATATCCACAATTGGCTACAGAATCAGATTCAGAGAGTGCTCATCAATGGCACCTCTCAGATTGGGGAGAGGTAACAGGTGGGGTACCTCCAGACCCAGTCCTGGGTCCAGTGCTCTTCAAGATTTTTATTAATGACTCAGATGAAGACGTGCAAGGAATACTGATCAAATCTGCAGATGATGCCTAATTAGCTGGGATAACTAATACCCTGGAAGACAGAAGCAAAATTCAAGGTGATCTTGATAAGCTGGAGCACTTGGCTGAAAGCGACAGAATGACATTCAAGAGGGACCAATGCCAAGTTCTGCAACTAGGAAAAGGGGACCAAATGCACTGGCACGAGAAGGGGCGTACCACACAGCCACATGGCTGGCCCATCAAGCAAAGGTCAAGCATGTGTTGGCATTGAATCGTGGGGTCATCACATTGTCTGAACCCAGCCATGTTAACAAACCATGGCTTGTGAACCACAAATGGTCCATGAAAAGTACACATGGTTTGTTCTTGGGTTGAGAACTGGGGGTTGTTTGTGGTCAACAGACCACGGCTTGTAAGTATTAAGACAAGACAATCTGCATTTCAACAGCAACAACCAGAAAAACAGACGTGCTCAATGGGTGAGAAAGCTAAACTGAACAATTCTTCCACCTCTAGAGAGTCTGCATATCTTGTAAGGTGGGGGTGATTACCTTGGGATGGGACGGGACCGACCAGCTCCCAACAGCTTAACAAATAGGGGGAAGGGGATAGCTTTGTGTGTGAAAGGACTGGAAGATGAATTCTAGGTTTGGTACTGAAATGGCACTCTTGGGCTGAACACCTGCTCAGAAGTACTTTATTGCTTAATTCTGTTTCTCTTCCTGGGATATTTTGCGCAAAGCTCCAGCTGGTGCATCTTCGGCTTCTAGCAAAGAGCAAAGTAGGTCCTGCAAAGCTGAAGTCTGGGAGGCTACCGGAATCTCAGGTGTTTTTCCTACAGGCATTGACACCACGAGTGACCTCTGAGTTTCCTTGTGCTGCCACACCTGCCCAGGTCACTCGTGAGCAGCCTCCGCTCGTGGGAGCCCTCAGAAATTTCAGCCTGGAAAGAGCTTAGCGCCCAGGGGACCGGTGAGGTGTGGTGACCAAGGGCCGCCTGCGTTCTGGTCCCTGCTCACCACGGAGCCCACTGGGTGACTTTGGGCCAGTCACAGACACTCAGCCCAGCCTACCTCGCAGGGCTGTTGCTGGTATGGGCATAAGAATGGGAGCAGCAGGAGAAGGAGGAAAGCCGCTCTGAGTTCTTTATAAGAAAAAGGAGGGGCATGAACCTAATAAATAAATCAGCAAACCCACTAATAGAAACACATTTCAGATGCAGCAAAACTGACTACAATAGCCGTCAGTCCGGGAGCGGCAGAACACGGTGCCATCCTGACCCACAGGGAAGCCAAACTGGCGGGACTGAATCCTCCTGCGTGGCTTTTCCTGCTATCAGATGTCTTCCTTTTCCCAGTCCATGAATCCCTTTTTACAGACAGGGGTGTCCTCAGGGGACAAGCTCCCTTAAAGACACATTCAGTCCTTAGAGCTGAATATGCCCGACCGCCCTTTGAGATCTGCGGGAGAGTCCCTTCTCCGGGAACCCTCCATGAAAGAAATTAGGAGAGTAAGTACCCGGAGGAGGGCTTTCTCTGCGGTGGCGCCCAACCTATGGAATTCACTCCCCAAAGAGGTCCGCCTGGCACCGTCGTTACTGGTTTTTCGGCGCCAGGTAAAGACCTTTTTATTTAAACATCATTTCAATTGTTAAAACATATGATCTGGCCAGGGCAACCCCTTCTTCCTTCTCTTTCTCCCCCTATATTTTTATTTTATACTGATAATTTTAATTTTATATTTGTAAATCAATGTATTTTTTGTATTTTTATATTTAATGGTAATTTATTATGCACTATTGTATTTCAATGTATTTTATCATGTTGTAAGCCGCCCCGAGGTTTCGGCAAGGGGCGGCATAGAAATGTTATAATAATAATAATAATAGAGCATCTAAATTAGCATATCATAGGTGCCCGCTTCTTTTCCTTCGGGCCGAGTCCTGGCTCTTTCTGGTCACTAGCACTGCCCTGGGATTCCAGAAGTCGGTGGGGGGCCATGCTGGTCTCAGTCGGGAGTGCGGAGAAACCATGGGAAGGCCAAGCTCCCTGGAGAAGACCATCCAAGCTGAAGGCAGCAGACGGAAAGGGAGACCAGACATGACAGAGGGAGCCCAGCTGAAGGTGCGAGAGCTGAGCAGGACGTTGTGGGCCTTTATTCCTGGGGTCACATGAATGCGAAGTGACTTCATGGCCCACGGCAACGAAGGAGGGCAGGAGGGCCACTTCCTCCCCGCACAAAACGCTCCGCAGGCTGCCTGGCCGAGGAAGCGTCTTGCCCCGCTTGTGCCGAGAAGGGGCTGAGGCAGGGCTGGCGGCGCCGCCTCCTCCCCTCCCTGCCCCGCAGAGCAACCCCTCGCCAGGGCCCGCTCCCTCCGAGGCCGCGCTCGGCTTGTGCGAGGCAAAGCTGCACCGCGTCCTTCTGAATGGAGCGAGCGGCTCCGCCAGGCCAGTTTTGTCTGACAGACGCAGGATAACAATATAATAGAATAACGAGCCTCTCAAGAAATGCATTTTACGGACCGCAATCTTTTGTGCTTCTAGCAATCAACAGTCACTATGAGAAAATCACAAAATCATTATATACCAGCAGGAGGCCTGAGATCTCTGCATGTGTTTGCTCAGACGTTTAGCTTGCCTTCCCCACTTATCTCTGAATCAATCCTGCCAGACTCTGGCACAGAGAGAAGATGCGATTTTGCTTTGCATATCTGAGTTGCAGTCCTGGGCAAATAAATTGATCTAAAATAAGGTATCTGTTGAGGAAGCAGAAATACCTGCCTGCACAAAAGGGAGAAGAAAGGAATAAACAAAAGGGGAAAGAGGTTTATTCTGAAGTGGATTTCAGTAACAGGGAAGAGTTCTCTGTTGAGTCTTAGCCTACGAGCACCAAAAATAGCACCAAAAGTAGCCGTATTCAAGCAGAATTGCCTTTGGGAACAGAGCAAAATCTCAAGCACACTCGGGGCTGGCTTTCCAAATCCAGTTCTAAGAGATTCAGCCTAAGCATTTTGCAGAAGAGGGGGATGGCGGACTGTTTTCACCCTCTCTTGGGGGCTGAATTTTCTTCAGCTAGGATTATCAGCATTATTATTAAAATCTAATAAACACTATTGTTTTCAAAAGACCCATGGCTTCTTTCAAAATAAAAGTATTCATCATTTCAATAATGAGTAATTAACAACCATTAATGTTATCACTGCCTGGAGGAATGCTGCCCATGGGGTCCTGACGGGTCAGGCACACGACTTTGCCACTAACAACAACAACGTTATCGCTATCGCTAATGATCAAATCATTAAACAAATGACAATGGATGGATGTGATTAATAAACAATGAATGATGGATGTTATTGATGAAGTAATTATTAAAATTATAGAAATCATGCAAAATATAAAACTGCTCAAAGAACCATTAAATACTGAAATGTGATGAGACAATTCAAAACGCAGAAGGACTGTAACCAAGCCGGTTGATCCATAGCAAGCCTGTCCTAAGCTCTCCCAAGCACAAGAGCAGAGTAAGAGGGAAACACTCGAAGCGAGCCCCAAATAGAGAACGGGGTGCTCTTGCAGGGGCCACCAGAGGGTCGTGGATGAGCCTGAAGATCCGTGGCACACAAGAGTGAATCCCCTAAAAACATATTCAAAAGTGCCTGCCTATTTGAAAAGCCGAGGACACAATGAGGGGTTAACTTTTAAGGGTGTGGGAACCGGATCCAGCCGTCCATTGACAGGAACAACTGGCAAGGAGAGGCCCGGAAGCTGCCTTGTGCTGACCGTGTGCTGACCGTGCGGCCCTGCCTTTTGGTCCATCCAGTATTGCCAGCACGGGCCGGCAGCAATAGCGCCTCTGCATCTCAGGCGGGTTTCTCCCTCGCCTGGCCTGGCGATGCCGGGGATCGAACCGGGAACGTTCTGCATGCAAGTGAGGGCTCTGCCCATGTCCCTCCCGAAGGAGGAAGGGGCTGGCTGTGCCCAGCGTCTCGAGGCAAACTCCTGCGCGGGCAGAAGGACTGGATGAGACCTGGGCCCGTGCGGTTTCACAGTGGCCGCCCAGAGGGACCCGCAAGCAGGACAGGAGAACAACAGCACCCTCCCACCCTCCAGTGGGGGCACACAGGTCGTCTCCCACCCAAGTACTAATCCTGCCTGGCCCTGCTTAGCCTCCAAGATGAGCCAAGATCAGGAGAGCACAGCTGGCTGTAGACCAGCCCCAAGCGATGAAAGCTTCAGCAGCTCTGAGGGGATCGGCAGCACCGGCGTTCTCACTCCATAGCAACAGAACAGGCTGGCAACTGGGGTGGAGGGGCAGCGGTCAGAAGCTCCTCTGAAAGCCCACGCGTGGGGGTTTGCGTGGCTGCAGTGGCCCCGTGCACGCACCCCACACCTCCCATCCGGGCCGGGCTGTGTGAACGGAAAACGAAGGGGTGCTTTGCTTTGCAAAACGGTTCCGGGAGTACTGAAAAAGATCGCCCTTTTCTGATGAAGTGTTAGCCATGTTCTCTCTCTCTCTCTCTCTCTCTCTCTCTCTCTCTCTCTCATATTCTCTCTCTCTCTCATATTCTCTCTCTCTCTCTCTCTCACACGGCTCTCTCTTGCTTCCCTGCTCAACTGAAGGGACAGACCTGCAGTCACATCCCCTCCTCCACCCCTTCTGAGCATTACATTTTAGGTCACAGGGATTAGCCCCCTCCCTGATGTTGTGCAAGCTGAGGAAGAGCAGTCCTTTGAGTATACAAGTGTACACGGAAAAGGCTGCATGCAGCTCAAACTCCGCAAAACGGGGGTTCCGGGTTGCACAGGACCCTTGGCATATGCCCGGTGTATGCAAAGGTGCGTTTGTGCTGCCAGGCCGGGTCCCGGGAGCAGGGCAGAACTCCTCAGCAGAGCCTCACATACTGCTACCAGGTGACCGGACACAAGGAGCAGCACCATCTGGGTTGCCCAACCTAAGGGGCTGTGTGGGGTCGTCTCATGGCCTGCACGGTGTCTGGTGCGGGAAGGACAGCATGGAGAAAGCAGCAGTAGCAGCGGCAATCGAAGTCGGAACTGTAGCAAAGCACAGAACCATTTCTCCCCCAGGAAGCAGCTTTTGTTGCCCCGAAGCCAACCATTTGGTCTCCTGCAAACCAGCTGCCTGCCATACAGGGTGGTCCCCAGATGAATCAGCCACCGTCAACCGTGCAGCGCAGATGCCTGCCGCAAGGTTTTCGTTTCCCCTCCTTTCAGAACAAAAGGCTTTGGAGGACATGATCTGACGTGTGCCTAAGTGAAAGAGAATGCTGCAAGTGCAGCGTGGGCCGGCCACACCGGACGCCTGTGGCCGCTCGCAGACCGGGGGTGGCCTCTGCAGGCTCTGCCCAGGTGGCTGCCCACGGAGAGACGCGTGTCGTCTACTGGCCACGTCTGCCGTGCAGAAGGAAAGGCTGCAGGGAGGCAGGTTCTTGGCACAAGCGGAAGGAGGGTGACTCCGGTTATCACAGCGGCTTCTGGAAGACGAGTCCCAGAATCACACGATCAGGGAGTTCTGTGGGGTTTCGTAGGTTCCCCCATCCAATGCGTTGCTTAGTGCAGAAAATCCAAGGCTTGTGTATCACCCCACACACCCCCCGCCCCATAGCTGCCCTTCCTCCATTTGACAGGTTGCAAGAAACGGGTTCAATTTGCAAAGTGTGCGTAACATCCAGACGTGGCTCCTAAGGCTCCACAGAAATCTGCCCTTGGGGAAGCCCAGCAGCCCCCGTGCCGCCTCCTCTGCCTGCTTCTCTAGCACAGCAAACTCTGCATGGCGCTTCCATGTCCCCCTCACCCTTTTTTTTAATGCCCAGGCTAATCGTAAGTAGTTCCTTCAAACTTTCCAGACAGGGAAAAGTGCCCCATGTGTTGGGCCGTTTCCCTGCCCTTCTTCCAAGTTGCTTCCATTCTTCCAACACCCAGAACTGGTCACCACACTCCAGATGAGGTTTCGTGCATGCAAAACAAACAAACATTCACCCGGCGCCGTCTTCATTTCCCTTTTGGCGCCGGGCAAAGACATAACCCTTTTAGGAATTTTTTTAACACGTAAGCCTGAGTGCTGAGGCCCTTTTTATATTGCTTTTATAGGTGTTTTAATTGGTTTTGATGTGTTTTACTTTGTCGATATGTTTTCTATATCGTAAGCTGCCTAGGAAGGCCTTGGCGATTCGAGGCAGCCTATAAATACATGCATAAATACATAAAGACACCCGGCCTGTTCTGAATGGGGTTGCGCTCCCCCTAAAGGGCAAGCTTCATACTTTGGGGGTGCTTCTGCAGCTAGAACTGTCATCTGAGTCACAGGGGGACCCTGTGGCTGGGAGCAGCTTTAGTCAACCTGGGCTGATCTCTCTGAGCTTGAGGAGCATCGGCTGGGAGCCTCTGGGACTGGCCACAGCGATGCAAGTCCCTCTGTTGGCTGCAGTGCCTGTACCCTGCCTTGCTGCCTCACGCTGGCAACGCGGCCTTCCTGCTGTGGTTCAGACCCTGCCTCTCGCCGGACCCTCGCTGCCTTTGGCCCCTGCTGTCTCCCGCCTCGCCCGGTCGCCTCAGCGGTGCAGGGTTGCTCGCCCGCGGTGCTCCGGCCCTTGCCTCGCCGTGTGCCCTGCCTCAGGCTATCTGTGCCTCTGCTTGTCCTCCTGCTTCTCAAGCCCTGGCTTGTTCCGGAGCATGTCCTTGTTCTGCCCTGATACACACGCCTGGTTCCTGACCCTGACGTCTCTGGCTTGCTTTGCAGGACTGGGCCGAGCACGAGAGGAAGTCCGTGGATTCTGGAGCGGGGGCTCTGAAAGGGTTTGTCCCAGCCTGAGTTGCCCTGCCTGTCCCCAGAGAGGGCGTGGGAGTCTTTGGGAGTACCTGGTCCCCCTCCAGAAACGCCCGGCACGGCCAGGCCCTGCGTGAAGGTGCAGCCCATGCCTGCCTCCCATCGCCCACTGTAACCACGGACATTATAAGCAGAGCACACCCCCCCCCCCCGCACACACACACGCGGGAGCCGGAGCCACGGCTCATACGCGGAGCTGCCTACCTTGACCCGGCTGATGTTCGCTCCACTCATGCTCCCACTGCGATCGACAAGGAAGATGAACTCTCCTTGACTGCTCCTGAGCTTGGGCTGGGAGGTCCGCAGGTCTGGACAGAAGTTCAGCATGACCACGGGGTGGTGAGGGATGTCCTTGTGGAGGCGCTTCCTGATAATTTCTGTCTGCAACAACCAGCGCAGAAGTTGGCATGGCGGGGCTGTCCTTTCTCGAAAGCTCGTTAAACGAAGAAGGGCCTGCCTTGCGATGGACCTGGCACCATCGTTACTGGTTTTTCGGTATTTTTTATTTTTATTTAAACATCATTTGAATTGTTAAAACATATGATCTGGCCAGGGCAACTTCTTCTCCCTTCTCTTTCTCCTCCTATATTTTTATTTACTTAAGTTATACTGATAATTTTAATCTTATATTTGTAAACCAATGTATTTTTTGTATTTTGTATTTAATGGTAATTTATTATGTGCTATTGTATTTCATTGTATTTTATCGTGTTGTAAGCCGCCCCGAGGTTTCGGCAAGGGGCGGCATAGAAATGTTATAATCATCATCATCATCATCATCATCATCATCATCTAGTTGCAACTTGAACGTAACTTAGCATCACAAGGTTTAAAGAGAAGCTGTGCTGGAGCAGACTTTGAAAACCCTGAAAGGGCTCCTGGCTAGGTTCACGTGACCTCAGCTGAAGCACTCAGTTTCTGCATTTCAGGCAGATTAACTCTCACCTTGGTTCAGTCCGGCCTGTGGGGACGAAGACAGGTGTACCTAGGCATGCCTCTTCCCTCAGTTTTGTGGGTGGAGAACAGATCCAGAAGATGCCTTCCCAAACTACGGCTCCCAGAATTCCTGGCTACAGGTTGTGCTGGCTGGGTCAGATGGGAGTTGAAGTCCAAAGCATCTGGGGTGCACCCAGATAATCCCACCCACTCAGAGCAAGCCTGGTCGTGCCTACAGCCTGGCCCAGTGGGGACGGTTTGAGCGAGCAGGGAGATCAGATGGGGAGGCCTGGCCCTGGAGGCTGCCAGCCTTTGCCCGAAGCCTTCATTTTGGGTTGCCACCCAGCCCACTAAGTTCGCCCGGGCAGGGAGGTCCTTTCTCTCAGCCACCACTGGGCCTTTGGAGGCAGGAAGATGCCAGGACGCCTAAGGACCTCCTCCAGTTCTTCAAGGGGGCTCAGAGGGTGACCACAATGGAGAGCACTTCTGAGTGGTGGCCCCTCGGTCCTGGGAGGAGTGCCCCCGTGAGGCCCGCCTGGCCCCAAGGTGGTGGACTCTCAGCAGCAGCTCCAGCCCCTGCTCCCCTCCCAGGCCTCTGGCAGCACCCAGAGCAGTTTTCAGTCTGGCTGTGGAAATTTGTGCCTGCTGTTTGTGCGCGGAATTGCAGCTGCCGCTTTCCTCTGTTCAGGCTGCCTTTAAGTTTTAACAGAAATGCAGTAAAGCAACCGAAAAGCCAAAGAGGGCTTTCCCAGCCTTTCAAATCTTCATTTTCCACAAGGGCACAATCCAACACAAATAGCCTTTCATACAGCTTTATACAAAAATACGCCGGTCTTTTTGGTATATTTATCTCGCCTTTTCCACCCTCAGCCACGACGTGCAGTTGGAATGAAGCCCCTCAGAGCTTCTCCAAACTGGACCTCGGCTCCCTGGCCCTGAGGGCCCTGGCCTACTTCCTCCAGCGTAATCCCATTCGATCCAGAGCATTACTCTGCCAGCAGGCACTTGAAGAGAGTGGCGAATGAGCAGGCAGAGTCATTTCCAGGGCCTGCCCCCGTTTCCTTCAGACCATCAGCAGCCACGCTGCTCCTCCGCTCAGATTCATTTAGTCTAGGAATGTCTAGGAAACGGTAATTAATTCCCTGTCTCCAGCATGTTGTGCAAATGCTCATTAGCAGGCAGGATTTTGTGGGACAAACACGCTCAGGAATCGGTGGGCAGCTAATGAGCTTTCATGCGTTTATACCATAATTGGATAATAGGCGAGGGAGGGGGAGGGGAGGGGGAGAGAAAAGACTCTGAGCAAACACCTTCCCTGATCCAAGTCACACGGGGCCTCTCCAAATGATTAAACAGAAACACAGTTTCTCCTTCTCCTTTATCCTTATTATTTACCCTTTGTTCCTACAGGATAAACACAATTTATCCTCCTCCTGCTTTATTGCAGGGGAACCAGCAGCTCCAGTCCAGCACTTGCAACGATGAGGCTGCGCTCCTTCCTCAGCTGCAGGACCTCATCTTCCAAAGCACCCACCTCCCTCAGTACTGCCTTACAGCAATCATCCCCAGCCTGGGACCCTCCAGATGAGTTGGACTACAAATCCCAGCTTTCCAGGCCAACATGGCCCCCTCAGAGTGAGGCCAGACCAGCTCGGCTCCCCAGAAGACCCTCCCCAGCCACTTCCTTGCTGTGATTCTCCTCTGCAGAGAATCCACCAGACCCAAATGCCTCCCTTTAAGGACCCTTTTTCAGAGCAAAGCATTCCGGGATAGTTGGCCATGGAGTCGGCCAGTCTAGGGACCCCGGAGGGCCAACACCCTTCCTTGGAGCAGATGTGCAGTTGGGACCATGAGAAGAGCCATCCTAGGTCAGACAGAAGTTCCGCCTTGCTCAGCTTCCTGCTCTCCACGGGGATGGCCCCGGGAAGCCCATGTGGGGACAAGAGTGCAGTAGCCCCCTCCCACTGGTGCCTGCCCCCTCAGCAACAGGGACTCAGGGATACGTCCCACCCTGGCATGGAGTCTCCGTACACCAAATATGGCCAGCAGCTTTTCTCACCAAGCTACTTACCTGGCACGGCTCGAAGGCTTTGAGGCGAGTTCAAGGGGGAGCCAAACCGCTCAGGGTTGTGTCATTGCAACTCCACGGAGTTGGATGGGCGTTGTAAAATCCACTCTGTCTGCATTTTGCAGCGTGTCCGGCACATTTCATCCCATTGGCCACTCATTGATGAAATCAGATTTTGCACAAATGTGCTTGTGTTCATTGGCACAAATCACCCCTGTGCAAATTTACACTCCTCCAAATGCACTCCCACCAAACTATGCAATTCCCCCAAGATTAGTATTTTTGCACCTTAGTGTATGGGGGAACGACACATTTTTCACCAACTTTTTCATTTTTCCAGATTTTTCTATAGGTAAATGTGCATGAAATAAAATGTGGTTTTGCATCCCAAAGGATTCGGATGACTCAGAAAAACCTGGTTCATTGCAAAATCCGTTGATGACTGGACAACACAATGGAAGAGGTCAGACCGTCCATAAAATACACGTGAAATGGATGTACTCTGTGCCTTGGGTTTTGCCAACATGCATGTACACATTAAAGAACAAGGACAGGGAGGGACGAACAAGCAGCCAACAGAAGCAAAAGATTTAGCAAACACATGCACGGAATCTGGAATCTCATGTCACCTGGAGTGTCATTTGTTTGCCACAAGATCCAGGTACAAATCAAATCCATAAATTTTGGGGAAATTCTCCTACTATAACAAGTATCCAGGAGGAGGAGGAGGAGGAGGAGGTCAGGGAAACCAGGTAAAGAGCCAAAACATGACATGGGAAAAAGCGACGGCATGCCACGCCACATGCAATGACATCGTTGGATATGTGACATGCCTGCCCCCTCACCTTTTTGTCTGCACTGGGATCCTTCTTCATCCCTTTGATGAAGTCATTTCGCCCCTTCAGGTGTTGCTCATACTCGGCAGGGGACATGTCGCCTTCTTCCATCAAGACGTGAGGCATGTGCGGCTCTGGAAAGCCAGCAGGGTGGAGCAGAAGGAGAGCAGAGAGCACCATTGTGGGGAACCGGGGCGGCAGCAGCGGCATCCTAGAGCACTTCGTGTTCAGGAACCCCCTGACCCCTTGCATGTGGCTCTATTTCAGAGAAGCGGCTAGAGTGTTCCTTCTCCAGGCCCTCAGGATGGGTAAGTATTTTGTTTCAGTTTGGGATTCATGAGAGGTTGCAAAAGTGCTCACAGTTCTCCACATTCAGGAGAAAATCAGTACATTATTTAAAAATGTGGATGTAGGAGAAACTGAAATGGACTGTCCATCCTTCCAGGCTTGGGACTTTAAGTGTTTTGCACATAAAAATCTGTGGCTAAGATCAGACAACATAATAATGGGCACTCAAGGTTTCCTTGAACATGGGTTGAGAGTGGTTTGTTGCTGAACTGTGGGTTATCACGTTCCCTGAACCAATCAGGCAAATCATGGTTTGTTGACCACAAATAACCCACAGTTCGCAACCCAAGAAGGGTCAATCACAGGTTGGGGTTTGAAGAAAAGGATGAATGGAGTCAGAAGGTCTTAAAGGTCCCTAACATGAACAGTCAAGTTGCTAGGCATGGGAATTACAGGAAGGACTTGGGAACCCTACAGAGTCGGGGCTATTCCTCCTGACATCCTTCAACCAAGGTGCACAGAGGTTGTGTGATGGAATCAAACAGAAGCTGCAGTTTGAACCAAACCTGAGAAAAGGGTGGCTGGTGAATTTTGCGCTTTGTATACTCAGTGACTTTCTGAGGATGTGATGTGAGGCAGCGTTTGGGTTCCAACAACACAGCCCACACTCAAGGGCTGAGGAAGGGTTGCACATGGGTTGTTGTTGAACCAGGCTCGTCCTCAAAATGTCAGCTATTGTGTCATCTGCACAAAGCTGGATGCAACGATCCACTCAGACCCTCATCTGTGCCCCCCACCCAACCACCTCCCTTCCTCCATCAAGACTTAACTATCACTGTTCAAGTTTCCAGAGCGGCAGCCACACTGCATCCTTGCAAGACAAAGAGAGAAAGACACCCTGGGGACAGAAATAGGTCCGGCTAAGGGAAGAGATTGTCCCAAGCCGCAAGGAACGGCCCTCGCCACATGGGCTACTCACCGCTCGGGTGGATCAAGATCTCCACGGGGCGGTCAAAGGTGTGCTTGTTGGCCAGGGTGATGACGATGCTCTTGGCCGACCTGGCCGACGGGTCAGCATCTGCTCGGATCTCGTGCGTCGGGCTTTCGACCCCTGTGTGGGGAAATCAGGGGCCAATTTTGTTGGAGACCCCAGATTAAAAGAGTCCTTAATGCTCATCCAGTTCCATTTAGTGCCAGGCAGGGAATTCACTGCTGCAGGGTCCCCCGCAGGCGACCCCCTCGGGCTCAGCTTCGAAGCCTCCAAACGTGCTCGCGTAGCCGTCCGTTGAGCCAGCAGGCCGAGTCACCTTTGCTGAACTGGAAAGGTGCGGGACTGAAGCCGGACGGGGACCCCCGGCGGAGAAGCAGCACGGGTTGGACACAACGGTATTACAAGCCCCTTTCAACTCTCCTACAATTCGATTCGATTCGATTCACTTTGCTTTGATTCAAAGAATTCTCCTTCTTGTAATTTGAAACCATCAGAACTCAAGGAAAGTTATGGAGTGCAGAAGATACACTGTACAATGGGGGAAAGTCCGGGACTAACACCGCTCAGCCACTGTGGTTTAGGCCCTGGGAACTATTGTTACAGTTTAGGCATTGGACTAGATTATTGTAACAGCTTCTACTTGGGGCTCCCATGGGGGTTAGTCCACAAAGTGCAGCTGGTGTGGAAAACAGCTGCAAGGTTGCTAAAACGCTCCGAGAGCCAGTGTGGCCTAGTGGTTAGAGTATTGGCCGGGGATCTGGGAGCTCCAGGCTCTGGTCCCCACTTGGCCATGGAAGTCACTGGGTGGCTTTGGGCCAGTCATAGGCTCTCAGCCGAATCTACCTCCCAGGGTTGTTGTTGTGAGGGTAAGATTGGGAGGAGGAGGAGGAGGAGAATGCCTTGAGTTTCTTGGAAGGAAATAAGTGAGATATACATAGAATAAACAAATGAAGCGGCATTGCTGAAAGAATGTAGGAATTTGTCCTGACACCACTGCAGACGCGTGTCAAAAAGCCTGGAAGTGGCAGAGGGGGAGGCAGGAGAGGTGCTGCTGAGGTGTCCAAGGCACGGAAGCAGGAGACAGAGGGAATCACTGGGGCAGCAATGAGGCCAGTCAACCACCACCTTATGCAGTGGAGGACAAACCTCTGAAACGAAGGGAAAGCAGGCGCCCAGCCGGAGGAGAGAGGAGGCGAGGCTGCGAGGTGCGAGGGTCCGGCAACGACGAAAAGGGTGGGATGGCACACCGTGCAGGGCGACCGATGCTCAGGGAGAGGGGCAGCTGCAGAGGACACCAAGCCGCCGTGCGCCTGGCAGAGCCTGTGCTGCTCTTTTGCTTGCTGTCTGCACGAAGCCCCGATCGGCCCGGGAGCGATGCGGGCTGGCTGCAGCGGCGGCGTGAGCAGGGCTCATGGCCAGGACTTCCACCCGGCTGGCTTGTCTGCAGGGAGAGCTGGAGACAGTGGCCGGCAGCGAGGCGCGGGGCCTGGTTGCTGCTCCATGACTGCCCCCTGCGCTCCTCCGCAGGAGCACTCGGAGTAGCGGTGGGATGCACCCTGCTGGAATCCGTCCCTCCGAGCACTCGTGGGCTTCCTCTCAGGCTTGGCTGGTCTTTCGAGCTGAGCTGAGCTGAGCTGAGCTGAGCTGAGCTGAGCTGAGCTGAGCTGAGCGGCGGCCCAGGAATGCCCACGGAGCCCGGGCCTCGCAACCAGCAACCTCTTCCACCCACACGGAGGCTGCAGCTGGTGCAGCAGGACGTCCCGCCCTTGGGGAACCGCTCTCCTGGAAAGCCTCTCGCGAGGAGACTCTCTCCGGTGTGCACACAGCGGCTGCAACTGGCATGAGAAATGGGTGCTGCTCGCGCAGTGCGTGGGCCTCGATTCCGGGCAGCATCCCACGAACCACAGGCACGCCCACCAGGAACCTGGCGTCTGGGCCACTGCAAAGTCCAGGGAATCGGAGCGATTCCCACCCGGATGGATTCCTCGCACACCCCTACTTAGGAGCAGGCAGGAGAGAGCATCCAGCACGGCCGCCCCTGCCTTGTGGAACGCGCTCCCCATCTGCATCGATCACTTTGACTTTTAGACATCCTCATGAAGACCAAGCCCCTTCACCCCCTCGCCGCTGCTTACCTGCGAGTAGGCACGGCCCTCTAATCTCCAGGTAGAAGCTGAACTCGTACTCAGTCGGGTTCACCGCCTCCGTCTCCAGGAGATGGGCCAGACAGAATTTTCCTGCTGGGTCCAGAACAGCCGCCCCACAAGAGTGCTGGTCTCTGGCGAGGAGAAGACGGCGGGTCAAGAGAGGAACTTCCGGCTGGTGACATTCGCAGTGCCGCATGCGCTGACCCCTTCAGGCTCGGCAGGGGGCGACTTCTGCTGTCAAGGGCCGCATTCCCTGGGGAATCTGTCAGGGGCTAAACCCAACGGCAGAGGGGGCCAATCCCCACACATGGCAATTTCCCTACTTCCTCGCCAGGTTTGCATGATGGGGGGGGGTGTCAGTGTGCACGGTGGGCTTTGCCCAGTTACCCTCCTGTAACTCGCCAGGTTGCCCCAGCCTGGCAAGGTACATGGCAGAGGGCAGCGGCAAAATCACCCCAGAACCCCCACACTGGGCCATGCATTCTGGGGCGGTCTGAGGCCACTCCTGCTCACCCGGGTTGGACATAACAGGGCAAGCAGCCCTGCGTGGTCACCATGGTGGGTGGCTTTTTGCCATGACCTACAGGCAGACAGTCAAGTGCTTTCTGCATTAGTGCGGTTTCCATCCTCCCACCCAAGTCCTCCCAAGGTGAATTGCTCCCTGTCTGTGTCCCCTGCCTCTTCCTCATTGGTCCACCCGGAGGATGGATGGGTAGAGCAGCCACTGCGGTCGCCTCTCTTTCCAGAGGTCTCTGTGGTAGGAGGGCTGTGGAAACCACGATCCTGGTTCAGCCAACACAACCAGTCATGATGGTGCAGAGAAACCACAGAACAAACCATTGTTTCTTATCATGGTTTCTAAAGACCAACATGGTGAAATACTACAACAAGTTTCAGAGAACACAAGAGACCAACCTTTGTAAACCAAACCAAACCAAACCCAACCCAACCAAACCAGTAAGTAACACACTGGCAGGGCACTTAGGCAAACTCCACGACACGGCATGCGTGGAAGAGCGAGGGAAGCCATCATCGCTTCCTCTCCCAGTGCTCTTCCAAACCTGGCCTTTCTCTCCCTCCCTTCCCAGCTGCCTGCTGGGCTAGGAAGGGAGTTCTTCCCAGATCAGGGGGCTTCCAAGATTAAGCCAAGGAATACAAGTCCCCCCGACACCCATCTTTCAGAACATGCTCAGTTGTCTTGGTACATCCTTTGTTTCTTTTTAGCTCTACTGTGAAGATTTTGCCTCCCCCCACCCTCTATCTGATAGCAAGTCTTCCAAAATGTGCATTTATGCAGGCACACTAGCTGAGGCCATGTTTACAAGAACGTGTGCCCTCTTCAGCAGGGGGACCCCCATTTCTCCCTGAAACCCATCCTTGGCATTGTTATTCGTTTCGATGCAGCCCCACGGCCAGCGCTGCCTGGGCGCTTTGCAGCGCTCCGTCACCCGCTTTTGGTTCTTACAAGCGGAGGTGCTGGCCCAGGAGGCTGGTGGCGGCTTCAGCACTGTTCTGGGGGACCTTCGGGACACACACCGCCGGAAGGCAGACCTTCACCGCGCCACTGGGCAGGGTCTGCAACTCTGAGGAGGTGCTGATGCAGATGGAGACCCTTTCCTGCGGGGGAACTATGCCCACATTGGCCACAAAGACAATCCTCTCCAGATCCTCATCCAGCATGATGCGTCCTGTCAAGAAAGGAAGTGAAACACAGAAGCTAAGCCCTCCTTTCTGGAATTCCCAACGACTTGTGAAAAGGGTGCACCAAATTCTTTCCAGACCTGCGGACGTTCCCCGTGTGCTTGGGTAGCGATGTTTGCCCTGCCGTGTTCCTGGAATAGCGGTAAGTGTTCACAGGTGCTTAATAAGAATTTAGTGGCAAAGCCCCCGAATCATTTGCAGAGGGCTTTTCCTTTATAATGGCCCTTTGCAACACACACACGCCAACAAAACCTGAGAAGGTAATGACTGCATTCAGACAACACAATAACACATTCAAGGGTTTAGCGTGGCTTAAGTGTGGGCTGTCATTGAACCATACATTATTGTTGAAACATGGGTTGCCATGGGGTCTGAATCCCGAGTTAACAAACCACGGCTTGTTAACTGTGGCCAACCCATGAAGAGAGCCCATGGTTTGTGGCCTACTTGTGAAAAAGGGTTGTTCCTCGTGGTTTGCTACCTCAACTGGGATCAGGCAACAGGGTCACTCACACTTCAAACACCGCCTTCCATGCTTCCATTCAGCCCAGACTCAACCACACTCACTCCTTCAATGTGGATTATCCTGCTGCTGGAGCCTATTCAGTGTCTAAGGATGCCTAGAAGTGTGTGTCTTCCATAAGGCAGTGGGTGGAGTCAGCAGATTCCCAGATCTTTGGGACTTCAACTCCCAGCATTTCTGATCACTGCTCGGGCTTCTGGGACTCGGAACACAAGGCGTTTGGGTATCTCTCTGCCCACCCCTTTGGTAGCTGACAACCTATTTGGGCCGAAGCTGCAGATGGCAAAGATGGCATCCCGCCCCTGGGGGGGCATGCACCCCCCTGCCGCATCCTGCCCCATGTTGAGGAAAGGGTCACCTAGAAGGCTGAGGAAAGGCTGAGCAGGAGAGTTTAAGTCAGAACAGAAAATTTTAAAGAATGAGAACGGTCGCTGTGCACCAGTCATGAGAAAGGAGTTTGGAAATGGCCACCTGATCGCGGTGAACTGGCAATCTGGAAACGGGAGCTCGCGCCGTGCTCCGAATCATGAATGCAAATGTTATTTATCACCCTGAGTTTTGTGAGAGACGTGAGTCATACCCGCAGTAAAACTGTTGACCGACAGAAGAGAGAAGGCATGGCCAAGGTGCACAAGGACCGTCGCTTCCCACACTGCTCTCTCCTGCCGCCTCCTAATGGCTTTCACCTCTTGGGGGCAAGATAATGAAGCTTCATGTTAGCATTGTTGTGTGGCAGGGACTTTTACGTGGAAAGGGCCCCCGGGCTGAGCCAGGGAAGGGCCCGCACCGTCTCCTGGGCCGAGCCGCGAGTCCCCCGGCACGGCACGATTAGCTGCACTAACGAATTCCCCACTCATCACCTCCATCCGGCGCTCTTCCGCTGGGAAGCCCACAGCAGTCGAAGTAGCAGTCATCTATTCGGGCTTTGTCCTTGATTTGCACAGTCACGATTCGCTCAGAGATTACAGCTTCAAAGCCCACGACGGTCGTGTACTCATCCAGTGGATAGATGAAGAGGCCTGCGGATCGGAAACCTTATTTCAGCATGGAGGCTAAACTCTACCTGGGCTTCAAAGCTCATCAGCACCGAACAGTTGCCAGGACCCCAGAGAAGCCTCCTCCAATCTGGTGTTCCCCGGATACGCTGGATGACAACACCCATACTCCCCAGCTAGCCCTCGACCATGTTGGCTTGGAATTATGGCAGTGGTGGCGAATCAGATCTCCAGGCTTTCAAGATGATGCTGGACTGAGAGCGAGCAGGGCCGGGTTTTGACTTTCGGGTGCGCAGACAAAATTAGCCCTCTCCGTGGCTAGCTAGGGGCCACATAGAAAGCTAGGGGCCACGTGGAAGCAGTGGCTGCAGGGTGGCTCTCTTGGGGAAATGAGTCCTGAGGGTCCCCTATGGGTGGAACTGGCCCATGGCAGTATATCACGCTAGTCCTCATCCACCTGCACCAGCTGCCAGTTGAAGTCTGGGCCAATTCAAAGCGCTGGTCTTGGCGTGTAAAGCCCTCAGTGGCTTGGGGCAGGTTAACAGAGGTCCCACAAGTTTCTGCCCAACCCTTAAGATCACCAGTTGAGGTCATTGTTGGGGAGCCCCCACAAAGACGTTCAAGGACCACCCACAGCTTGTTCTGGGGGTTCTTGCGCCCCCAAAGGCCTCTTGTGTCCTCTGAGCCCGGGCGACCAACCCCATCGCGGGCACTGGGAAGCGGCTCCCGATCCTCTTGCTGAATCAGCAAACAGCCCGTGACACAAAGAAAGGGCGACGTGTGGAAAAGGTGCGGCAAGCCCACAGTGTCTCCTCAGAGCAGGGGAAAGGGGAGGCAGCTCCCTCTTGTCCTGGTGTCCCTGAAGGCCCCTCAGGAGGACAGCAAGGCAAAGAAGCCTCCTCGGTCGGCCACGTTGTTCCACCAACCAACCAACTCATCGTGGCTTCTCTCCTTGGAGAGCTGATGCCGCCACGACTCCCTCGCCCAGGGCCTCCCTGAAGCCACAGCATCACGGAAGTAGCCCGTCCCACGTGGGGCCAGCCCACCTGAGGAAAAGGGGCAGACTAGGATACTGGCCCGGATGCAAGCCCCTTTCACCCTCACCTTCGAAAGGGTGCTCCTCCGAGTTGCTGTAGGCAAGAGAGGCAGTCATCCCGAACGCGTAGCCACTGACACAAGAGGTGACCTCCGAGGCGGCGAGCGGGAGCGCGGTGTTGGTGGTCCGATTGATGAGCCCTGGCATTCTGCCGACTGTCCCAGGCGCGGAGCTGCGAAACGGTCGCACCGCTGAGGAAGTGAAGCACGGCTCTTTCTTGCGACCGCTGGTTTTGTCCTCTAAGCTGGAAACAGGAGCTTAAGTCAGTGAAGCCAATCTGGGGGCTCCTCACAGCCCACTCATCGCCTGCCATTTGGAGACTCATTTTGGCTGGTTACTTTTGGGAAGTTTGATCAGGCAGGGTGGGAAAGCCAGCTTTTGAGTCTTCCGGGCCTGCTTCTTTGCTCATTTCTTAATTAGATGTATATCCCACCTTTTTTACTTTCAAGGAACGCAAGGCAGTTTACATCATTCTCCTCCAGCTCTTGATCTCAGCCCCACAACAACAACCCTGTGAGGTAGGTGGGGCTCAGAGTCTGTGACTGGCCCAAAGTCGCCTGGTTGGCTCCATGGCTGGGCTGAGCGGGGCCTAGAACCCAGATCACCTGCATCCCAGCTCTGCGCTCTCAATCTGGTCCTTCTCCCTGCCCTCTTTTACTGCTCTCCAAGGTTGTTTTCTCGACCTTGGGGGTCAGTCAATTGCAGGGGGGGGGCAGGAACACGAACTCCAGGCCCCACCTCCAAGATCAGAGAGTCACCTCCGACCTCAGAGCCAGGAAGCTGAACATCCTACCCCCCCGCCCCAAAAACGAGGCCATCGGGTGTTTCCTTAGCACATTTTTAGTGATGTGCAGGATGGCTGTTTTTATTTCCTACTCCCCCCACCCACCACCATGAAGCGCCATCGGGCTAAAATGATGATGAAGAGGAAGATGCAGAAGGCAGCTGTGAACGGCAGGGCCAGTTTTAGGAAGCTGAGCTCATTTTGGTTGGGTGGGCCATACCCTCTTGCTCCTGCCCACCAGCCTCCCAGAAAGACTTCCAGCAGCAAAGTTCTTCCTGTGGGGTGTTTTGTATCCCCCCACCCAAGCACATCACATGAGCAGGTGCGATGCTGGCTGAGGCGAGCCAGGAATTGTCACCCGCTGTACCAGGAAGGGGCCGGCATGCAGGGGTCGGCCATAAAACGAGGCCTTTGCCGATTCCCGCAGAGAAGGCAGGTAAGCGGGTGCCTTGCGGGAACCTGCCAGGCAAGGAACCCTTTGCCAAATCAGCGGCTGCAATGCCGGACACACCTGGAGAGCAGCCCCCGTGGAGTCGAGCGATACTTCTGAGAAAATGTACCGGAGAGCTTTCTGATTCAGTACCTCATAGCAAAAGGCATTGCTGATGAGGGTTTGTACAGTGCTAACTCTACCTGGAGCTGCAGTTTTCATTTTGCTCCCTGCCAATTGCAAAAGAGCAATGAAAGGGCCCCCAGTGAGGCAAAGATGATAGTTTTAATTAAGTGCCACTATTAACCATGCCTGTTGCAGAGTTATGAAAGAACCTAAGAAATGACTGTGGAGATTTACATAATGCATGTAGTCATCCTGGGACCATACTTTTGCAGAATGGCTGGTGGGGGAGTAATATTTTTGTATACTTGCTCACATCAAAGCATTCCTCCTCTACAAAAGCTGCCAGGCAAGGAGAAGGGTTCCCCCCCACCCCCCACTGCTCTATGCCAATATATTCTCACAAGAATTCAGAACTTGTCTCCCTGACACGCAAGCTTTCCGTGAGGTGGTTGTTCTGGTCATGGCAAAGTATTGTATGTGGAATGTTACCTATAATCTGAAATGGTACCTTCCTAGAAGGACTGTACCATGATTATTTGTTCATTGCTTCCTTTGTTTTTCCCACACCAGCCAATTAGTCCCAAATCTCAGATGAGGAAGACTGTGTGATGCTTGTGCAAAGCTTTCATTTCGCTGAAGTGGGGAAGAGGGAGAGAAAGAAGCGGTGCCTGGAGAGAGAGGGAGGGAGGCAGGGTGGCAAAGAGGGAGAACAGGGGCAGCAGAGAGGGGGGGGGGGGATTCAAACCAGCAAATGAAAGCAGGCATGGAGAAATCCAGAACACGAGAGACTGGGAGAAGCCATTGGTGGATCAGGCCTGTCTCTTGACTGATGCTCGAAGAGGCTCCTCTGAGTTTGCTGCGGATCTGATTTCCTCTCTGCTTTGTGGTGCAGAAGCTCATGGAACTGTGATTGATAATAGATCTACACTTTTCTAGCAGGATCATAAATCAGGGGTTTATGGGTCCAAGCCGAGGTGGTTTATGGTGTGCGCGTAACGTGAGGGAAAGAAACTGCACTGGCTAGAGAGCATTAACCCTGCGGTGTGAACCTGGAGTAGCTTTGCAGATTCTGCGCCGGGAAACCCACCTTCCGCTGCGGAAAATAGGAACAGCCCCGATTTTCTAGGCTCTGTCCCTTGGATTTCTGCAGTGGCAGGAACACTAGCTTAAAAGTAGCCCAAGGTGCTAGAATTGCCATTCTTTAAGGCTTAACTCCTTCCCCAGGATTTGTTATGCTCAAGATGGGTTGAGCTATAACTCCCATCAACTGGCATGCCAGGGATGATGGGAGTCATAATTTTAAACACCTGGAGGGCATCAGGTTGGTGAAAGCTGATACAGACAATTGCAGGTGGGACAATGATTTAACTAAATATGCAACAACTTCCTGCAAATGGTTTCAATGCATGTTTAGACACAAAAACATCCTTACAAGATTTGTAAAGCCTGTTACCTTGTGGAGCAAAAGGAGTGCCTCTGACCATGTACAGAGTGCCTTTCCATTGCTATTGAGTAACCATAGCCCAGCTGGACATTTCTAAGATGAGAGAAGGAGGCACAGATCCAGGCCAGTGGCTTAGACAATGTTTAGACAGGTGTGCACCAATTCCTGGCCACTGGTCATGACCATTAGATAGATCCTCCTTGTCCAGGAGCAATTTACCTCCAACTGTCAGGAGCTGAGATTTGGTCCAGGAGCTCCCCAAAGCACTCGGCTGTCTTTCCTCTGATCACTCTTTCCATTTTTCTCACAATTAAAGGATTGCAAAGCCATCACCAAAAGGTTCATTGAGACCTCCCTACACGAGGCTTTTAACCTATCACTTCCCCAAGGCTTCTGTTTCTGAGTTCTTAAAGGGATTAAAATTGACCCCTCGACACATGCCTTCCCTGCCGCCTGCCCCACCACCTCCACCCGCCTTGCTAGACGCCCCATTTCCCAGCCCCCCACATTTCTCATTTCGGCTCATTCTACCATTTGCAGGCACTACAGTCCTGCCAAATTCCAGCCGGATCATGTTTTCCCCCCACAAGCCCCTGTCTCTAAAACAGGCACTATTGAACCGCTTGTGACACTTGTGCAAATAAGCCACTGGAAGCCATGTGGGACAATTTGGGGGTGCCTATTTGTGCAAATCTCAGGAGTGGTCCCAAAGAAATCCACCAATCACGGTCCAGTTTAGAGATGGAAGTGTGTGAGCTGGCTCGACTCACTCCGCAGCCTAGGACCAACACACCTGAATCCTAGCAGGACAGGTTGTCCAAATCCATTAGAACTTCACCTCCTTTGGTGCCTTGCCAATCCCCAACTGCGCTTTTTTTGCTCAAAAAAAGGCCAGGGAAACGCTTGGAACAGGCCTTGAGGATGGCAGCAACTTCATAAAGCATCTGCAAACTACCATGAATTTGCACAATAAATCCTTGTGTCGAGGGACCCTTAATCTCCCTCCTCCATGTTTCCTGTGTCGCTAAGATCAGCTTTTCCATCACTAATAGCAGAAGGAAAAAAGTTATCGGGGGGGGGGGGGGGACAGATGGATTTTATTTCCCAGTGATCCTGTCTCGGTGGGCAGGGGAATTATCTTCTCATCTCTGCCCGTCAGAGGTGGGTAGATAGTGGTGGTGGGTTTCTAGGGCTCTGCACTGGAGACACCGAGTCTGCAGCCAGCCCCAAATGAGGCTTCATTCCCAGTGTATGTGGAGAAGTGCAGGCACTGCTTCCGCGCTCTCAAATGCTGATGCAATGGGAGATGGGAAGGGAACCTGTCCGGCCGAGTGCCTGCCAGTTCTTCCTTCGAATTCTGTCTGCAAGTATAACTCAGTGTCCTTTGTGGGAAGACAGGAGACCATGAGATTGCCTTCTGCCCAACAGCACCAGCCTTCCGTGTTTTCTTTAAAATAAAAAGCATTTAAGGGTGCGATAAAACGCACACTGAAGCAGAGAAAGCCCTACAGCTTCCAGGGAATGCTGGCTAGGGAATGCTGGGAATTGTAGGAAGCACTTCAGACTGGATGGCACTTTAAAAACCCCCAGCCCCTGCAACCTATCCTTCTGAAACTTGTAAGGGTTGGTTTTTGGTTTTTTGGGGGTTTTTTGGGCTTGGGGTCACCGCTATGATCGGTGTGGGTTTTCTACAGACTGCCCCCCAGAAGAAGTCTGTGTGTCCCCAACTCTCAGAATGATTTTAGAAATGCTCCTCAGCAGAGCAGAATTTGGGCAGAGGGCACTGGGCGAGGTCCCATGGAGAAAGAACAACAGGATGGAAGGCGGGAGCTGTAGAAACACGGTCCGTGGCACCCCGAGTGGCTGATCCAAAATGGGGGTTCTCCTTTGCCCCCGCAGGCACCTCAGCTGCCGGTTGCCGATCCGTTCAAGAAACAGCTGAATAAAGGAGGTGGAACGGCCTTTTTGCGTCCGACTGTGGTTGATGATTGCGGCTACGTGATTGTCCAAATGTACAAAGCCCCGAACTTTGTCAGCAATTTCCTTCCTAGATCCTCATAATTTCACCCAATGTAATTCAAAGGAAATTCAGCTGGGGCTTCTTTAATGTGAAATTCTACGTGCAGCACGGTAAGCAGCAAGGAGTCGTTTCCCCCCATATTCACGAGGATTAGCAACTTCTAAAGCAGCGAGGTGCAGAAGCACGTACAGAGCGTCTGTGGGTCCTGGACCAGGAGAACCCCTGGAGACAATGTTGTGTCATGCCACGAGTATTCTAGAGCACAGAACGTGGCAAGCAGGCCAGAAAGAGTGTTGCTATCACTACAACAAGCAACGACAGATTTTTTTTTAAGTGTGGGTGG